GGATATGAAAGGACGAGGGGTAGTCGAGGAGACAAAGAGTCCCTGGTCTTCATCCTTCATGCTTGTCAGGTACAACACAGGCTTTTGTTTCTGTGTGGACTACTGACAGCTGAAAAGCGTTATAAAGATTGATGGCTTTCTGTTAACAGGAACAATCAATACCCTGGATATGTTCACTGGGCCTAGTTTTTCTCAAAAATGAAGCTGAAGAGCAGCTACCAGCAAGTTGCCCTGCATACCAACAATAAAGAGATGACAACATTCTCTATGAGACATAGGCTGTGGCAGATCAGAGTTAAGCCCTGCAATATTTACAATGCTCCAGCAACATTGAAGCAGCTGATGGAATCTGGCCTAGTTTTATGAAGCCTGCCTGTACCTGGATATCATCATCAGCAAGACATTCCAGGAGCAACTTGTCAACCTGTTTCTGAGGAGCTCACCTGAAACGGAACCCTGAGAAGTATCAATTTCTCCAGGAGGATGAGCAGTGCCTCAGATATAATCTATGACGTAGAAGTGACCACAGACCAAGAGAAACTGGAGGCTGTACCAAAGTGACCACTGCTGAAAGACACTGTTCAAGTATTTCCTTGGTCTGCTTACCTAGTACTAGTGCATAAAGGTTGGATCTGTGGAGAACACAGAGTCACTGACCCAGNTTGAAGAAGTGCTATTACAAATACAGGATGGTTTGGGAAAAGTAGCAGCTTACTGCAGCAGGGCCTTCTCCAAGGCTGGGAGGAGGTGTGGTGTGACCCAACAGGGGATACTGGCTACTGTGAAAATGCTGGAATAATTCCAAATATATTTCATGCATAAGATTTCCAACTGCAGACTGACCACTTGCCCTGACCTGCTTCCTTAGTTTCTAGAACCTGATTGAGCCTAATCATGCGATTAGAAGCAGTGTACAGGATTTGTGCATGGTAAAACAGAGTTGACAATATGAAAAGAAAGTCAGTATATGCAAAAAGATTTCCAATGGCATACAGTGAACTAATAATGGTGAACATAGACAAACTGACATCATGATAGTACTGAAAATATCGATCCAAAACATGATAAATGTCACAGCATGTTTGTACGAAAATCTGGCCTGCTTTAATTGTGTCCTTGAAAGATAATGTCCTCTCAAACTTGTGTGTTCATAATGTGAATGGAAAGTGTGAGAGGTTAAACTTTAAAATTTTGATGAAACTTTTAACACCCATGAAAATTTAGGAAAAAGGAGGGGTAACTTATCAAAAAATACTCTTCCAGGATAATGGCACCCCAAACAAAATCTAGTACTCTACTAAAACTTACAGAAAATGAGATAATCCAACAGTGCAATTTTGAAATTTATATCAAATGTGAAACAAGGGAAAATGAAACATGTATAGCGAAGGAAGAACAGAGACAAGGAAGCCTGCTCTTTTCTAATGATGGAACCTGCACCATCCCCCAAAATGTAAGTACTTACCTACTGAACTAAAAGGCATCACATCCCACAATACTGTAATCTCAAAACACAGCGACAAGAAGCTCAAATGTTACAGAACATTAAGGTTTCTTCTAATTTCAGAGTTAGACCATAACAGTATTATATTTAAGCATCCTGTTACACTCTATATGATATAAATTCCATCCTAAGTGTAACAATTTATTGTAGGTCTTTCATTTTGCCTTCTTCTACACTACATGTTTCAGCCACAAATGGCCATCATCAGGTGTATACACTCACAATACATCAGACAGTACACGTAGTAAAGATAAGAAGTGGCACGCACACAGGGAGCCTACACAGAATAACACCTTACAGTGCTGAAAACAAGAAGTAGCCACTGCAGCACTATAGACATGGGGCGAGTAACCCTGAGAATTTTAAATTTTAAATTTTAAAATTTGGAAAAATTTTAAAGGAGTTTTTAAATCAGAACTGAAGATTTTAAAAGTGCCAGTTAATGAATGTCAAAACTGATGTGTGTGGGTGACAAAGATGACGTACGAATCAGACAAATATCAGTGAAGTAGATCCTGTTAGCCAATTGGGAAGACCTGTGTGTTTTTAAATTTTAAACTGGGTGCAGTGTAACAGCTACGTGAGTGTATACACCTGATGATGGCCGTTTGTGGCCGAAACATGTAGTGTAGAAGAAGGCAAAATGAAAGACCTACAATAAATTGTTACGCTTAGGACGGAATTTATATCATATATCGTTAGACCATAACTTATGAAAAATAATACATGCCAGAATTATACTGTAAGGACTACAGTGACAGGAAAAAATATCAGGGAAAGAAATACAATTTAATTATGAATAACATACAAAATACCATATTAATTCATAAGATTGGGTTCACAACACAGCAAAAAATAATATACCTTGATTATACTTCACCAGCACCTTCTAACAAAAATGTTGGTGTGGATGTGAGTCACATTCACTGTATTTCAAACAAATGCAGTTTTTAATATTGTTATGTGTATAGCTAGGCAACGGCATGATAAGCACCTCGCTTAAGTGCTTGACAATACATGGTCAATGCTATGTAATGCCTTAGTAAACACATTAAAATGCGCAACAACAGAAGCTGTACCTCAGCTGTTTATGCTCGTTGCTAGGCAACAGCGAGTGCACCAATGTAGAAACAGGCTTGAAGTCACGTGACTTGTTTTCTGTGGATTATAGGGGACAGCAAAGGTTGTTTGCAGTCAGTTGTAAGCTGGAAGAGCAAATTTCAACTAGGAGTGGAGAGGCCAGGAGGGTTCTGCAGTTGAGAGCACAAGGACAAGAATGGAGCGTGAATTGTGAAGATTAATTGAGTATGGTTAGGACATAGGAGTACAAAGTGATTGAAGACAAGACTTCATAGTGATTTGAAGTGATATTTTCTGCATTGAAATCGGTTGCTAGGAGACAACTAGTGGAAATTGAGAACCGTATTGCATATGCAATGGTGAACTGGAAAGTGCGTAAATCAGCAAGAGCGGTGTAGAAAGAGTAATTAAGGAAGGTTGTAACCAAAGTGCTAATAAATCCAATCATATGAACTAGAATCTCTCATTCTCATCATGCATGCTACTCTGCACGTGACACTTCGGTGTCAGAAGTTGTTGGCTCAGATCGTATTGGATTCTTCAGCAGTTGTTATGACCATAATACACATGACACCAGAAGAAACATTTTACATTGTCATTTGAATAAAATGGAAGACATGGAATTCCTGAAAGCCATGCTGGCTGAAATGAATGCCATGCAAGACAAGTTGGCCGCCGACAAGGCAAAGATGGAGGACGAAATGAATGCTATCCAAGCAGAAACGAAAGCCATGCAAGATAAGAGGATGGAAGCCAATATGAAAGCCTGGCGGGAAGAGACGATGTCCTGCCAAGTAACGATGGTGGCGTGTCTGGACAGTAGGGAGCTAAATCTGGAAGACATGAAATTTGAAGTTTAACCCAGGGAGGTCCCTAAGGAAGATGCTGTAGTGAAACTGGTCAAAGGACGGAAGAAATTGCACAAGGGTTGGCATGTAGCTGCAGGGTGATGCAGAGAGCCAAAGGAACTGACCCAAGGAATTTGTGGTTCCTGGAGGAAGTTGGCTGCCGCCTGCAGAAAGATGACCCGCCATGCAAGAATGAAATGGCACAGGGAAAACATTGTCAGGAAAGATCGGACCAGAAACCAGGAGGAACGAAGAACCCTGAAACAACGAAAGGATGGGGAGAGACTGTGGAAAGGCCGGGAATGTAACAATGGCATAAGGGACCGAGGCCTGAGACAGTAGCTGCAAGGTAGAAATGTAGTGAAGGGCCTTGGTGGCAGACGGCCGCTATATCTGAGGAAGACAACCACCATGATTCGGCTTTGGAGGGTGGAGATCAAGACAGCTGTCACCTCTGGGAAGAAGAGGACTGCCCTACACGACCCTCGAGATGACCCTAGAGCTGGAATTCATGAAACAAGTAAACGGGATGTCTAGCGGATTTTGGAAAAAGAGGAAGTTGACCTTGTGCAGAGGTCGGCCTCCTCCGAATTGAAAAAAGAGATTGTGCATGGAGGAGCCGGAAATGTGGCAGTACTGAGCACTCCAGGAATTGTGGCCACCATGGCAAAGAGAGAAAAAGAAGGAAACCTTTGGATGATAGTAGTACACCTGGGCTGGCTGACACCTTATCAAGGAGCTGCTCAGGGTGGGAAACCTTAAGGATGGGGGCAGTGGGATCGGTCGAGAATGAACACCAGAGAAAAATAAAATAACAGTCATTAGAAGGACAGTGATACCGACTGCAGATGCTGAAAGCACACCAGTCGGAAAAAAACGGTGATATGCCGCTAGGTTATTCCGAATAACCTTAAGGAGGGAGCAATAGGACTTAAGGACTTGACAACAATACATGATCATTGATAGGTAATGACTCAGTAAACATGTTAAAACATGCAACAATATAAGCTGTACCTCAGTGAATGAATGTTTATTGCTTGTTGCTAGGCAATAGCCAGTGCACCAATGAAGTCACTGGCTAGGAATCACGTGACTTGTTTTCTATAGGTCCACACCAAAGATTTACAGGGACAACAAAGGTCGTTTGTAGTCAGTTGTAAGCTGAAAGAGTGAAGTGGAACTAGGAGTGGAGAGCCCAGGAAGGTTCAGCAGATCACAGTACAAGGACGAGAATGGAGTGTAGCTTGTGAAGATTGAGTACAGATTAGGACAGAGGAGTACAAAGTGATTGAAGACAAGAAGACTTCATGGTGATTTGAAGTAACAGTTTCTGTGCTGAAATCCATTGCTAGGAGACGATTAGTGAAAACAGAGAATCCTAGTACATGTGCAACGTTGAACTGGAACGTATGAAAATCAGTGACAGCGTTGTATTTGAGCGTAATTAAGAGAGGGTGTAACCGAGTTCCTAATAAATCCCATCATCCAAACTAGAATCTGTCATTTTGTCAAGCGTACCACCTACAAATGACAATATTTACAACATACATAAAAAGCAAATCATGTAATAATGAACTGAGGTAAACCAACAAATCTCAAACATTTATTTATTCCAAATGCAATAAGAGACATTTAAAAAAGAATAACTTCTGTTAAATAAATCACAAACAACTCCAGTGATCACACAGCTTCAGACTACCAGGTACAAGCACTGGGCAGTATATTAAGAATGCCCTGTGAACATAGTTTAATATGGCAGGTTCCATTTTGATACTTGCATGTCAGTGATTATTATTAAATTTTATGTGACAAGAGCAATCAAAGAGTATGCTATTACAGTTACATGGAGGATTCTGCCTGCAACATCACATGCTGCTGGCCATAGAGTAAGGAAGTCCAGTTTATTACACCAAAGAGCCTAACAATTTTTTCAAACACTAATGGCTCTTCTGATGGGCTGTCATGAGGGTCTTGGTAACATAACCCTTCCCACAATGTTGACACTTGTATGGTCTGTGTCCAGTGTGGTACCTCATGTGGATGACCAGGGTTGATCGCTGAGTAAATGACTTACCACATTCACTACATTTATGGGGTTTCTCCCCTGTATGTGAACGCATATGATCTCGCATATAGTTACGCGAACGAAATGCTTTAGTACATACTTCACAAACAAATGGCTTTTCACCAGTATGGATACGACGATGAACCTTTAACGAGCACCTACTACCAATTGCTTTCCCACATATGTCACATATGTATTTTGGCTCTCCTGCATGACTTTTCTTGTGAACTTCTAGCTTGAACTTGTATCCAAATGCCTTTCCACAAACATCACAAGGAAATCGCTGGGTGTTTCGATCTGGATCATGAATCTGCTGATGGATGCGTAAATGGGCCTTTCCAGGAAATTCTTTCCCACAGACTTCACACTGTAGTTTTTCTCCTGAATGGAATGCCATGTGCCCTTTGAGTTCTGAGTTTGTATAGTAACCTTTGCCACAAATGTCACATGTGAATTTGTAATCTTGAAAGTGTCTCTTCATATGCATCTCCAGGGTCAGTCTCTTTATCGTTGCATAACCACATGTGTCACACACAAAATTCTTGGTAGCACTGTGGCGTTTCTTGTGTTCTGTAAGCTCAAAGCTTCTTTTATATGCCTTGTGACAGATGTCACATTCAAAAGGTCTTTTTGTGCTATGGGTAACTGAGTGCTTTTTCAATCGATTTTGTTGAGAGAATGCCTTGTTACATACTGTGCAATGGTACTTCTTTGGAGTGTGGTGACTCTGAATGTGGTACTCCAGTCTGGCTCTATTCTTATAAATTCTGCCACACACTGTACACCTCAAGTCTTTTGCCTTTGTCAATGAGGTTATGTTTCGCGTATGAGACCCTAAATAATCTGCATTTTGAGATGAACCTTCACTGATTTCCTTTGTAGAAGATGTGCTGTACTCAAGACATTTATTGATGGGCTCTGTCAGTTGTGAATTGGAAACTGGCAGCTCAGCACATCTGAATGGTGGATTTGACAAGACATTGTGCGATCGGTCCAGTTTAACTGACTTAGGTAACTGTCCCAGTGTTTGTAGAGACATTAGAGGCAATCCAATAGTTGATTTTGGGAGTGAGTTTGAACCCATGTGCATGGGACTAATTGCTGGCATTTCTGTGTTGGGAGTTCCATTTTCACCGCATGAAACAAATGCTGAACCTACTGAATGCATGGAGCTGATGGCTATTGCAGCAGTTGAAGTAGGATCCAATATCCATAGAAAACTTCTTGAAGACCTAGAAAAAAGATAAAAAGTAACTGAAGCCTGCCTTAAAATTGTAGATATTCGATAATAAATTTTATCTCTATATGCATGCAGACAGGAATTGGCACCTGCTTCTGTACATTCCACCAGACCTTGTTATCAACAAATAATCACATAAACATAGCTAGGATGTGTTCAATGATTGTTTTTGACACCAACTTTGAGGAATAAATAGAGTGATTGAATAGTAAGCAATCATCTTTTATATTCTTGGGGTCCCAGATGCATTTTAAACCAGACTGATGGGCTCTGTGGGTTTCCACAGTCCCTGTTGGTATAGCTCCTTTATATTACTCTGTGATTCTGCCTCATTTACTGTTACTTGTACGTAACAGTTTAGCACTTTCAGATGAACTAAGTAACAAGAAAAAATTACACATCAGTGTTCCCCTAGATATATCATGGATTGTTGGCATAAAGATCTTGTTCTTAGTTTCTACATTTGTGGTTCTAAGAGAAGAGTCAACCATTTACTGACAATGAAGGAACTTATTTAAGAATGTTTACTGAAGAATAAAGTTAAAATTAATTTCCATTTCTATAATGTGAAATGTTACTGTTACTTTTTATTAGGTTTTCGAAATGCAATTTACATCTCGATGTGAATTAATGCTGAGAGGCATGATGTCTTCATCCAAAGTTCACAACCTTTTTCGTTTCATGGGCTGGTATAATGACAGAGGGTTTTCCAGAGAACCACTGTCCTATCAAGACTGCATTGTAGAATACATGACATGGGATAAATATCTAATCATTACATGCCTGTGTGCAATTGTTATTGATGACATAAATACAAATAAACACACCATATGCAGTATTTCTGGTGGTTCAAATTTGTACACAGTACCATCACCATTTTTTAAAGAATAAAAATATCCATTATTCATGACACATACATGTACATGCACACAGAAACACACAGATATGAGCAAGTACCACCATTGCTTTCTGCCAGAAAAAATAAGTTTGCTTTTGTAACACTGAAACTAAGGAAACATCAAAATCATACACTTCCAGCTACAGTTATGAAAGAGATAATATAGAGTAGGCAATTTACATTGACAGACATATCTGTGAGGTAGTGATCTTGGTCTGCAACGTGACTCTGTCTCTAAGGGGTGTAGTCACTTACACCCTGCTGACTGGTCACACACAGCAAAGGGGGCAGTACAATAACAATGAACAAAAAATATGTACTTATCTAAAGAATCAAAGAATGGATACATTAGCAAGTACCTAGTTGGAAAATAGTAATTTTCCAGCTAATTATATGATGCAGAGCAGAATAAATTAAGCTCTATATCAGCAGTAATCCTCTGATCACTGAAACTAATGGCAAAAGACTGGCATGGCAACAGGGGTTTCTCCTCTCAAGACCCCTCTGCACAAAATATGTTTCTCTGTTATGACAGATATTACTGGTATTAAGGACTGCATATAAAATTATATTCTACATGATTCACTTTACTTTTTTTTTACTTTATGATTCATGGCACTGTGTTACCACTGAGCATATAATGACTTCTCTAAAAAAAAAACGATGTTCTTATACTTCAACATTTTGAAGAGGAACTGTAATTATATATAAGTTGTACAGATTACTTTAGAAGCAGAATTAATTTATATAACAGGGGTATTCTATTTTTAATAATGTTATAGAATTCAATTACTGAAGTGAACAAAAGACCATATGGGTGTTAATACCTGCCAGACTCCTGTAATGTCTGAGTACAACATAATGAAAAACGTGAACTGGACATGTGTGTTCATGGGTAAAACAAGAACTGCTTTCTGAATTTTCATTGAGACAGATGAGGAATATAACTACTGAATGTGCATGAGGAAGAAAACATGAACTATGACAGCCTAGCCAGTACAGCAACTAGACAGAGACCCGAATGCCAGAATATTTTCCAGCAGGGACAGTGATCTTTCTCTCTTCCACACTGTCCAGACTGTCTCTGGTACCCAACAATCATCCTTACTTACTTACTCATGGAGCTGAGCCCTTCTGGAGGAGCCGCAAATTCTGCAGCTACTCAAGAATTTCCCAGCATTTTATGGAACCCGAAGGTTCATTACCGTGTTCACAAGAGCTCTCCACTGGTCCCTATCCTGAGCCATATCTATCCAATCCATACCATTCCATTCTATCTCTCTACGATCCAGTCTAATATTGTCCACCCACCTACACCTTGGTCTTCCCTGTGGTCTCTTTCCTTCTGGCTTTCCCACCAATATCCTATACGCATTCCTCATCTCCCCCATTCGTGCTACATGACCTGCCCACCTCATCCTCCTTGACTTGATCATTCTAATTATACTTAGAGAAGAGTACAATTTATGAAGCTCCTCATTATGCAGTTTTATCCAACCTACTGTCACTTCGTCTCTCTTCGGTCCAAATATTCTCAACACCCTGAGTCTATGTTCCTCCCTTAATGTCAGAGACCAAGTGGCAAAATTATAGTTTTGTATATTCAAATTTTTATGTTTTTGGACAACAGACGAGAAGACAAAAGGTTCTGGATTGAATGGTAGCAAGCATTACCCAAGTTCAATCGCCTCTTAATTTCCTCCTGAATCAGGTTTCAATCTGTTATCATTGTTCCCAAATATCCTATTATCCTATCCAACCCAAACCAATGATTCTTTCCCTAAGGGTAATATGGCTGGGGTGTGAAGATGACTGTTTACCTCCCTCTATAACCCTGTCTCATGCAGTCTGAGAGATGTGAACAGCTTACATCCCTTAAAATAAAATTTGTACACAAGTTTTTCATCTTATGGGCTATTTATGGAAAATCAACAAAAAAGAAAACACAGTAGTATTGTTTTGTAGTTGATTGAGGCACTACATTAAAAGCTGGAAGGTCACAGTTTCAATTCCCAATGGGGTCACTGGATTTTTTAATTTAGCCAATCCTTCCAGATGCCCTATGACCCTGGAGTTGACTCAGACTCTAATAGAAATGAATACCAGAAATCTTCCTGGGGGTATAGGATGGCGGGCACAAAAGGCTGACAAACTCAGCACCATCTGTGAGCCAACTGTCTAGAAAATGTGGAAGCCTCAACGTCTCACAACCCTATGGGGTTCCACAGCCTGTTACATGATTAGTTTCATTTAATTTAGCAGTTTTGTTTATTTTTAATAACTGTTATGTGAGTCTCATTATACTCAGCATACTTATAAAAGGTAAAGTTGTCCCTGTGCTTAATTATTTAAGCACTACACCATGAATACCTATGGGGGAGTAAAGGTATATCTCCACCATTTTTGACCTCAGCACTAGTTGGAGGTCAGCAGTCAGTTACAGGCCACAGCTGCTTTAGTCACAGAGAAATAACCCCCAGTACCCATGGGATGGGAAGCTGCAGTATGTTTGCTCAACATGGGGAAGTACACCATTCATGTGAACAGCCTACTGGCTGTGGCCCAATTACTGATTGTGCAAAATATGTGATACACACGTGACATTGCATAGCTATTTTTTCATCAGTTTTACACACTGTTCATAGCTGTATGTGAGAACAACAGACACCATTTATAATTATTGTGTCTACTTTATATATTACAGAGCTTAGTTAGTTAGTTATTGGAGAGGGTGGGTTTCCCCATGCACTTAGACCAGTATTGGTCCACTGTGCTTCCCTCTATGATATTCTACCAGTCTCTATATCCTACCGATATTGGTGCGTACCATCAGTCCCGACCGAGCCAGCGAGTTCGGCCTCCACTAGCTTGGCGGTATCTATAATGCTTCCCCCATCTATCAGAGGTGTTAGAGACAACTTTTTGGGCGGGAAACGTCCTTGAATTTGGCTCAGTGACCTCCTTTGGAGATATGAGGTTCTTTTATGTGCCGTAAAGCTACGACACGGGACACACGGCTTAAAGTCCCTCCTGGAGGACTTGTTCCCTGAATTTTTCCGCCCTTAAAAATTTGACGACCTCTGCTGGGTTTCAACCCGCGTACGAGTCATGAGGTGGGAACGTTACCTCTAGACTATGGAGGCCGCTTATTACAGAGCTTAGTTTTAAGTGTCTAATTTCATCACCATTTTTATTATTCAAGTGTGCATTAATTTTAAAACCATGACTTAACCAGGACCTTCTGTGGTGAAACATAGTAAGGGACTGCCATTGACAAATGCAGAAAAATGGTGTGTGTTAAATGTTTTTACTAAAGTTAGTGAAGATAATCCCCATGTTATGAAGTGATAAGTTTAGTGGCTGATGCAACCAGCATATCAAAGGTTGGTGTGTACCGTGCTACAAATAACTGAAATATGGCAGTAAGCTGGTTACATCAAGAAATACCAGAAAGTGAAACGGTTAAGTGAAAAACACGACTGTTTTACAAAAACAACCACTCTTATAAAGGTGCTCTCTTTTCAGGTAGGAAAATCTGACTGAATAAAAAATTAGCTATAATGAAAAGGGATGGCGACTTGCCAAATTTTTTTCATTCACATTTCCACAGGTTTTTGAACTTAATGTACTTAAGTCTGTGAAACGAAATTACATTTGACACACACTGAGAAGAGCAAAATACTGGAATAAGCAAAGAAACTGCATTGCAATATATTCCTGAAGTTAGAACTCTACCCATTAATCTATTCCCAGTCTGTAGTTTATTGCATTGTTTTTAATGTTTAATTACATTCATATAGACATGAAATGTTTTGCAAGGAGACTGATGTTTTTGGAATTAGTAGTAACATGACTGCTGCCACATTTTCATGGCCATGTTTCTTAGTGGAGGGGGAGAGGAGTGAACGTTTACTTCAATTCCTTAAATTGCTGTTACATTGTATAAGGCAGAGGCTAAAAGTGTATGAAGTTCCAGTCTCCTTCCTATACATCTTCTTGGCAATTGCTTAATTATGCCAGGAACAACTTCATCTGCACCTCACAACATAAAGACAGATTCTATACAGATTTTGCCATTCACAAATATCACTGATAAAGCTTACATATTACTGGCACCATTAAAAGAGGCTGTCCACATTACAAAACATATGCACACACCAACTTAAATGACACCCGCCCAAAACCCGGCCATTTTCCCTAGTATTTACCGCAATCAAATTACATGATACAACATTGTATTTGAAACCACAGCTGACCTCAGTTTTGTATGTGTATACAAGATTTTAACACTTTAGCATTTCATTTTACTATATATTTTCAATATGAAAAATGGGTCCATTTTAACTTGCTATTCATTGATAGTGGTTTACTCATGAACCACCCGGCAAGGATCTATGCAATCAAAACATGTAGTGGTAAAGAAGAACAATAACAATAACAATACCAACCTTCTATTAATTATTATTTGATTTTATTAATCTCACTGACAATTGTCACGTACATGGCCAACTTACACCTTAATCCCATACTGTGAACCTGTGCATTATAAAACTGTTATTCTATTAGGCATATGTACTGAACACAATTCAGAAGTTACTACTGTATAAGTTCTCAAGGAATTACTGACACCATCCATGCATTTTTAGGAGAATTTTTGGATGCACTTTACACTGGCACTAAATATCACCATCTTGGCTCAAATCTCTTTCTTTGGGTCTCTGAACCCCCAATATGGTTTACTAACTCATATCAACATTCCATTATTAGTACATTCAATAATACTATCACTGAAAATCATTGTGGGACACCACTCTCTAGCTGCCTTATCCAGCTGTTCCAGTAACCACATTAACTACTTAGTTAATCTATGCAGGGATACTAGAGTGTCCATGAAGATAACCGTTTCCTGAGATGTGACATTGTGTAGTCCACTAGATTGTACAGACATTTCAGGAGAATAGGTTGTGTCTACCAATATGGCAGAAGACAGTAAACTTCAGAATCACTGCTGTAGAACCTCAGACTCACAGACTACCAATTTTTAATTCTTCAGTAATATTTCACCTGATTAAAGACCACCTTGCTCACTCTGTAGCCAGCCATGTGCTGGTCAGAAATGAATTCTCACCTTAAAGGCCTGCTTAAGGGAACTGTATACTTCAGGGGCTAGGGACAGCTGGGTACAGTGAAATAATGAAATGATAATTAGTAAGGAAGACCAAAGAAAAACAAAGGAAAACCTACACCAGTGTCACATATCCACCAGACATCTCATATGAAGTAACCCAAGTCCCAAGCTGCACACTCAGATGCCAAAGATCATCTTAGTTAGTGAATGACCCAATTTTCTACATATCTGATATTTATAAATATTTACATCCTGTTCACATGTGGTATGACCATAAGTGTAACAATAAAATAAAAAAATCAGAGAATATATTTCAGAGGTAAAGAGTAAAAAAGAGGGTAACACTGTTGTTGTGTTAATTAGTTAAACACTATGCCAAGAAGACATATGGGGTAATGGTGTTATAGCTGCACCATGGTTGACCTCAGTGCTAGATGGAGGTGAATGGTCATTTTCACGCTCCTGCCATACTACCCAGGGAAGGAGCCCTTGTACCCACTGAACAGGAGGTTGGGTGGGCCACATAACTGGTCTGGATGCTGAGAAGAGAAAACATTTTGCACTGCTGGGAATTGAACCCAGACCATACAGCTCAGAGCCTACTGCCATACCAACTGTGATATCCTGATGTCCATAGATTTCACAGGTTGAATACCGATATGGTCATTGCTAGATAATGCTCTACAGGCCATGTGCTCTGAAGCAACTTTATGCTGGTGCTGTATAGTCACCAATACTGAAAGTGTCAGGTAATAACCCACTAAAAGTTTATGGTGTCTTAGTAGTTTGTTTACCTTGGCATATACAACATGTGAACAGTTTGTGGAATGTAGTTTCCAATGGTCATTTATAAAACAGTAAGCACAAAAATATCTCAGGTAGGAAGTGTCCATGAAACAGTGTAAAAGTATGTCTTTAATTTGGGTCATAACATTGCAGTGAGAAATTAGTAGGAACTGTTTTGCTGAGATCTTCCTGATGAAGACCAATAAGTACTCATATAAGATTTAGAAAACACTGTGAACACTAAGGATTATAATTTTATCTGTTGCCTGAATCCTTACTGCACCTGGCCTTCACTTCTCCATTTTCCATGCCTTAAACAGTGATATAGTTTCCTAAATAATCAACTGTGACAGAAAATCACTTTTTGTATAAAAACAAAATGTTATCCATGAAAACAATGGCACATGTACTGACAGTGCTGAGTAACCACTGACATCATCCACACTCAAGGGGGTGGTATGCAGTTCAGAGTTTTTAGGACAAGGCCACATTTCATGGACTAGAGAAAATTGGTTACTTTTCTTAGTGAGAAGTGCAGTACAGGACTAAGCATAACATCAGTAGATACAAAGTGGGGGGGGACAAGTCACTGAGGAAAATATTTGGTTTCCACAAGCTCCTTAAGGATGATGTTGCCTAGAAGACAATGTGGCATGTACAGCATTACTTTGGACAGACTACGCATTCCACTGATATAACAGTTAATGAGAAACCTGCATAAACCTGGGTCACTGCATCCTGCTTCAGCATTACCAGTCACTATTACCATTTTCCTAGCAAAAAAAAACTCCAGAGGCATGAAATGGATCATCAGAGAAGTGGTATGATTGACTCCTCCCCAACATCATGAATAGGGAAGACGTGTTATTCCTGATATAAGATCACTGGCACCATTCAGCCCTGAAGGAACAAAACAAAACCAAGGACAAGTGTCAACTTCACACTCCCATAATGTCACACCCATCACCTGCTCTGACTCCCCACTTCCCATGTTCTCTGTCAAGATGCAGGCAATATGACCTTCTGAAATGTTAGTAACCACTTACAAGACCACACTCTGTCATAAACCCCAATGAAACAGTATGAATCAAGGTTGGTTACTGTCTTCTTGTGTGTGAACATCATGAAATTATGTGGATCACTACTGTTCCAGAGGAACATGTCACTTCCATCCTCTGGGCAGCAGAGCAAGCCATATACTGACATAGGAAAGGGGTACTGGGTTCTCGTAACTTATACATTTACTCTGCAGATGGAGACAGCTAGCCCCTCTGTAATGTTGGTATTTATCTACAACATTACATGGTGCAACATCCCATAGGCTATAAAATTTAAACTTGCCACTGAGAGAACCACATGTCACACAATACCAATGTTTCTTGTAACATGAGAGTTAGAACATAATGTATTAAAATAAGCTATGTTAGAATCAAGGTCTAAGGACATCTACTACCCCAGTGAATGAAGTGGGATTTATGAATGAATCACACATTTAAAATAACACCTAAACACAGTCTCCGTTTTATAACATATACCTTATCTCTGATACATCTCCCTTTTACAATAATGTAGACTTGAATGTCTGCCACAAGGTAATTCAAATATACACATTCTGATATTTACATTATTCAGGGAAAAAATAAATCCCACACATTGACTAAGTCACTTTTATTCAGTACAATAAGACACATTGAAAACAATGATCTTTTTACATATAACACATACATCTACACACAGCTTCAATTAACCAATATGCTATGACAGTTACATGGTTGGAATTTGCAATCTACCGTGCAGCTGGCCTCAAATAAAGGAAGTCCAGTTCATTACACTAAAGAGTCCAAAAATTTTTCAAATACCCTGATCTGAATAATACAGAAATCACTAATGGCTCTTCTGATGGGCTGTCATGAGGGTCTTGGTAACAAAACCCCTCCCACAAAGCTGACACTTGTATGGTCTTTGTCCAGTGTGGTACCTCATGTGGATAACCAGAGTGGTACGCTGGGTAAATGACTTACCACATTCACTACATTTATGGGGTTTCTCCCCTGTATGTGAACGCATATGAACTCGCATATATTTGCGTGAATGAAATGCCTTAGAACAAACTTCACAAACAAATGGCTTTTCACCAGTATGGATACGACGATGAACCTTTAACGAGCACCTACTACCAATTGCTTTCCCACATATGTCACATATGTATTTTGGCTCTCCTGCATGGCTCTTCTTGTGAACTTCTAGTTTGAACTTGTACTGGAATGCTTTTCCACAAACATCACAAGGAAATCGCTGGGTGTTTCGATCTGGATCATGAATCTGCTGATGAATGCGCAAATTTGCTCTTCCATGGAATTCCTTCCCACAAACTTCACACTGGTGTTTTTCTCCTGAATGCAGTGCAGTGTGTCCCTTGAATTCTGATTTTGTATAGTAACCTTTGCCACAAATTTCACATGTGAATTTGTAATCCTGAAAGTGTCTCTTCATATGCATCTCCAGGTTCAGCCTATTTATAGTTGCATATCCACATGTGTCACACACAAAATCCTTGGGTGCACTGTGGCGCTTCTTGTGCTCTGTGAGTTGAAAACTTCTCTTATATGTCTTGTGACAGATGTCACATTCAAAGGGTCTTCTTGTGCTATGGGTAACTGAATGCTTTTTCAGTAGACCTTGCTGACAGAATGCCTTGTTACATACAGTGCAGTGGTACTTCTTTGGAGTATGGTGACCCTGAAAGTGGTACTCCAGTCTGGCTCTATTCTTATAAATTCTGCCACATACTGTACACCTCAAGTCTTTTGCCTTTGCCACTGAGGTTATATTTTGTGTATGTGACCCTGAATAATCTGCATTTCGAGATGAACCTTCACTAATTTGCTTTGTAGAAGCTGAGTTGTGCGCAAGACATTTATTGATGGTCTGTTTCAGTTGTGAATTGGAAAGTGACAACTCAGCAGAATTCAATGCTACATTTGATGTCACAGTATGTGTTGGGTCCAATTCCACTGATTTGGATACGAGTCCCAAGGTCCGGAGAGGGATGAGAGGTAATCCTAGAGTTGCTTTTGGGAGTGCATTTGAGTCCATTTGCATCGGACTTACTGCTGGAATCTCTGTGTTAGGACTCTCATCTTCACCAATCGCAGCCAGTGTTGAACCTATGGAACGCATAGAGCTGATGGCTATTGCAGCCGCTGAAGTGGGATCCAATATCCAAAGAAAACTTCTTGATGACCTAGAAAAAAAAGATGAATCGATTGAATCTGACTCCCAACATTGTGTTTTTCAACAGCAACTTTAAGTTTTATGTTTATTTAGACAGTAATTTACATTCTATCAGATACCATCATGGAAAAATAAATAAACATACAGCTACAAAGAAAGTCTGTTGACCATTATTAACACTCAAATGGGAGAAAATGATATTTCATACTTGGGAGGCATAATATAGATTTCCATCTGAACTGGTACTTTGTGCTATTCTGTTGTCTATGCAGGCAAATGCAGATATAATAGGTGGTGCTATCAATGGATATGAAGATTTCTAGTTTATGATGAGAATATAATGCAAAAGTCACTGTGGCATATTCAATATCCCTTCAGAGTTCGAAATAGGGAACAATGGACACACAAGATCCTCTAAAACTAGAGTCAGTGAGCATCAGCAGCACATCTGTTTTATCAATAGTCTGATGTAAAAGGACACAACATAAATGTAGTCCATTTCATTCTGCTATACAATACCATTTTCCAAGTGAGATATTCCAGAATGTATCATCAGTAGCATCAGAGAAGGAATGTAGATTTGAGTTGTAACCTAAAAGCATGAACAGCAAATGTGGTATTTCCTTCAGCAGGGCATGTGACATTATTTACTTACACCCTGAAGCAACAGGAAACGTCTTACGAGTAAGCTGTCATTTCCCACCAAGCGGGACCTTTGTACCAAGCTCCTTCAGGGCTTCCTGCTCATCTCTTGTACTGTAGTTACTGGCCTCTTTAGGATACAGTTCATATCACACTGTGCAAGGACACATCTCTACTTTCCCATCCCAGATTCTCATTGACCACACATCCTGTATCCTTTGTGACCCATAGGCTATACTGTTAACATGTGGTTGCCTCTTTTCCAAGTTGAATGACCTCTGAAGAAGGAGGTACTATGTTCATACCTGAATGGTAAATTACCACTATGATTACAATATTAATCAAAATTATAGTCATCTGTAACATCATGCCATGGAGTTCAATTGGTACCAATGTTCTTGAAGAATGTGTGTTTCCAACATCATGGTATAAGTGTAGGCTGCATGTGGGAGAAAAAGGTATGGATATAGGGAAGATAGATCAGACTCACTGTCTTTTAATTCTTCCCTGAAGATGAGAACAGCAGTTTCCTCTTAAATGCTGGTACCTATGTACCAAACTACATAGCATCACATTTGAGAGGACAGTATTCTTGAAACACAGCAACACAAGAACTTAAAATATCAAGTAATATTAATGTTTCTTGTAACCTAAGTGTAAGAACACTTCTTGCAAAAATAGCATATGCTAGAATTAAACTCCATGAACATCTTTATACGTATCAAAGAAAACTCAGAGAATTCAAACAAATTAATGCAGGAATCACCTGTACAAAAACAACTTTACCCATAAGCTATGGCTCATTTGATAACAAACCTCAAAAGTTTGTAGGCCTCTTTACCTCTTCAGAATAATGTACACTTTGATGCATGTCATATCCATTGTATTTCAATTAAACACACTTTGTACTCACAATATTTACAATATACATAAAAAAACAAATTTAATATTAATAAGATGAGGCTCACAAAAGAGTCACAATTTTTATTAACACTGCAATACCAGACATTAAAAATAATGACCTTTGTAACACAAAACAGAAACATGTCAAGTGACAACACAGCATCAGACCACAAGACTGAAGGTTCAAGCTGTGGGCAGCCCATTAGGAATGTGTGGTGAGTGCAGTTCTAATATGGCATGTTTTCTCTCAGCCCTTGCCTATCAATGATAATTATTATTATGACACTCAACAGTCATCCACTGCTGTTCAAGCTTCATGCAGGAGCAGTGATCAAGTACTCTGTTATTACAGCTACATGGAGGATTCTGTCTGTAACATGACACGCAGCTGGCTACAGAATAAAGAAGTCCAGTTCGTTATATTTAACAGCCCAACAATTTTTTTTAAAAACCTTGTTCTGAACATTCTTAAGAATTACAACACTCCAAAGATGAAAGAAGTCACTAATGGCTCTTCTGATGGGCTGTCATGAGGGTCTTGGTAACAAACCCCTTCCCACAATGCTGACACTTGTATGGTCTTTGTCCAGTGTGGTACCTCATGTGGATGACCAGGGTTGATCGCTGAGTAAATGACTTACCACATTCATTACATTTATGGGGTTTCTCCCCTGTATGTGAACGCATATGATCTCGCATATAGTTACGCGAACGAAATGCTTTAGAACATATTTCACAAACAAATGGTTTTTCACCAGTATGGATACGACGATGAACTTTTAATGAGTTTCTACTACTAATGGCTTTCCCACATATCTCACATATGTAATTTGGTTCTCCTGCATGGCTTTTCATGTGAACTTCTAGCATGAACTTGTACTGGAATGCCTTTCCACAGATATCACAAGGAAATCGCTGGGTGTTTCGATCTGGATCATGAATCTGCTGATGAATGCGCAAATTTGCTCTTCCATGGAATTCCTTCCCACAAATTTCACACTGGTGTTTTTCTCCTGAATGCAGTTCAATGTGTCCCTTCAATTCTGATTTTGCATGGTAACCTTTGCCACAAATTTCACATGTGAATTGGTATTCCTGAAAGTGTCTCTTCATATGCATCTCCAGTTTTAGCCTATTTATAGTTGCATATCCACATGTGTCACACACAAAATCCTTGGGTGCACTGTGGCGCTTCTTGTGCTCTGTGAGTTGAAAACTTCTCTTATATGTCTTGTGACAGATGTCACATTCAAAGGGTCTTTTTGTGCTATGGGTAACTGAATGCTTTTTCAGCAGACCCTGCTGCCAGAATGCCTTGTTACATACAGTGCAGTGGTACTTCTTTGGAGTGTGCTGACTCAGAAAGTGGTACTCCAGTCTGGCTTTATTCTTACAAATTCTGCCACATACTGTACACCTCAAGTCTTCTGCCTTTGCCACTGAAGTTATATGTTGTGTATCTGACCCTGAATAATCTGCATTTCGAGACGAACCTTCACTAATTTGCTTTGTAGGAGCTGAGTCGTATGCAAGACATTTACTGACGGTCTGTTTCAGTTGCGAATTGGAAAGTGACAACTCAGCAGAATTCAATGCTACATTTGATGTGACAGTATGTGTTGGGTCCAGTTCCACTGATTTGGATACGAGTCCCAATGACCGGAGAGGGCTGAGAGGTAGTCCTAGAGTTGCTTTTGCGAGTGCATTTGAGTCCATTTGCATCGGACTTACTGCTGGCGTCTCTGTGTTAGGACTCTCATCTCCAACAATCGCAGCAAGTGTCGAACCTATTGAACACATAGAGCTGATGGCTATTGCAGCTGCCGAAGTGGGATCCAATATCCAAAGAAAACTTCTTGAAGACCTAGAAAAAAAAAAGATCAATCGATTGAACTCTTAACTCCCAACGTTGTGTTTTTCAACAGAATTTTTAAGCTTTATGTGTACTTAGACAGTAATTTACATTTCCTTCTATGCTTTCTACCAGATTTCGTCATGGGAAAAATAAATATACAACTACAAAGAAAGTCTGTTGACCATTATTAACACTCAAATGGGAGAAACTGATACTTCATATTTGGAAAGCATAATATAGATTTCCATGTGGACTGGTACTTTGTGCTTTTCCATTGTCTCTGCAGGCAAATGCAGATATAATAGGTGGATGGACACTGTGATTCTGTCATGTGAACAGTTATATGGGAATTTAAAATTCAGTGCTATAGAAATTGAAAATGGTAAGAAATGAAACTCCACTGAAAGTCCTCCAATGTGTTCATATGATTGGAAATTTCAAAACTCTAGATCTTCGTTGTTCCATATACAACTAAGAGGCACTAATATTCAGTAACAGTTGAAAAATATTTTTTTAGAAATATATAATGACACTTCAGGACCCATGATTACAGTCCTGAAGTTGTGCGAAGTGCTATCCATGGACATGACGATTTCTGGTTTATGATGAGGATATAATGCAAAATTCACCGTGGCATGTTCAGTACCCCTTCAGAGTTTGAAACAGTGTACATGGACACACCAGATCCTCTAAAACTAGAGTCAGTGAGCACCAGCAGCACATCTGTTTTATCATTAGTCTGATGTAAAAGGACACAACATAAATGTAGTCCATTTCATTCTGCTATACAATACCATTTTCCAAGTGAGATATTCCAGAATGTATCATCAGTAGCATCAGAGAAGGAATGTAGATTTGAGTTGTAACCTAAAAGCATGAACAGCAAATGTGGTATTTCCTTCAGCAGGGCATGTGACATTATTTACTTACACCCTGAAGCAACAGGAAACGTCTTACGAGTAAGCTGTCATTTCCCACCAAGCGGGACCTTTGTACCAAGCTCCTTCAGGGCTTCCTGCTCATCTCTTGTACTGTAGTTACTGGCCTCTTTAGGATTCAGTTCATATCACAGTGTGCAAGGACAAGTCTCTACTTCCCCATCCCAGATTCTCATTGACCACACATCCTGTATCATTTGTGACCCATAGGCTATACTGTTAACATGTGGTTGCCTCTTTTCCAAGTTGAATGACCTCTGAAGAAGGAGGTACTATGTTCATACCTGAATGGTAAATTACCACTATGATTACAATATTAATCAAAATTATAGTCATCTGTAACATCATGCCATGGAGTTCAATTGGTACCAATGTTCTTGAAGAATGTGTGTTTCCAACATCATGGTATAAGTGTAGGCTGCATGTGGGAGAAAAAGGTATGGATATAGGGAAGATAGATCAGACTCACTGTCTTTTAATTCTTCCCTGAAGATGAGAACAGCAGTTTCCTCTTAAATGCTGGACCTATGTACCAAACTACATAGCATCACATTTGAGAGGACATATTCTTGAAACACAGCAACACAAGAACTTAAAATATCAAGTAATATTAATGTTTCTT